TTCTTGCAAACTAATTGTTTCATTTTAACAAACAGATCCAAAGTCTAGTGTAAGTCTTAGTTTGGAAGAACATTAAACAGAATGGAAAATTCTAACTTTCAGAATGTTCAGATAGAATTTTTATAGGTGACACAGACTTTAGAAATAAAAGCACGTCAGATAAAATCATTTTCAGATACCCACCAGAAAGAAATAGTGCTTTTGTAAAAATAACTATTAGGCAGCATAATCTTTAGTATGAAATACATCCTAGACATTTATCATTATAGAAATGGCCAGTAATTTGAATCATATCTTTCTGTGAAAGAAAAACGTGCAGCACATCTCAGTTTCAGTCTTTTAATGAGACTGCCATGAGATAAGCAGTGAGTCATCCGAATGGTACAAAACATTCTCGTGGTCACTCTCTGTGATGGTTTTAAGAAAGGTCCACAAGTGTTCTGACAGGCCTCCATGCAGAGTTGGAGTTTATGTCTCCCCACTTTCAATCCTGGCAGGTTTTTTGTGGGGCTTTTGTTTTACAACATTCCACCAATGCCTCTTTGATTCATCGTTTTATCCTCTATATTTGTCCTTTAGGATTCCTATTATTCCCTTCCCAGCCTCCCTTTTATTCTCTTTGTTGTTGTTCAGTTGCTAAGTCGTGTCCAGCTCTTTGTGACACCATGGACTGCAGCACGCCAGGCTTCCCTGTCCTTCACTGTCTCCCAGAGTTTGCTCAAACTCATGTCCACTGAGTCAGTGATGCCATCCAACCATCTCATCCTCTTGCCCTCAATCTTTCCTGGCATCAGGGTCCCTTCCGATGAGTCAGCTCTTCATTCTAATCCATCTTCATTCTTCCTCTTTCTATAGATTTTCTTTCCCCAGCAGGTTTTCCTCCATCAAGGCAACAGAGCAGGACTTCCGAGCTAAGTGAGAAAAGACCCTGGGGCATCTGCTGGTGTATCTGGGGCTGTTGCTCAGGGTACCTCCAGCCATCCTAGCAGAAGTCTGGCTACCTTGAGGTCACCATGTGGGGATACCGGACAGAAGGAGATGCCTGGGGAGTGCCAGGTGTTCCGGCTCCAGCTGTTAGACGACTATAAGCCAGAAGTGCCTTGCTGGACAGCTCCCCAACTCCTAACTCACCGCAACAGTGAGAGGTAACACACGAGTGTGGTTTTGTCTATTAAGTTGTGGAAATATTTGTTATGCAACACTGGAGAACATGCATATTAACTCATTTAATTCTCACAATAACCCTATGAATTACTGTCAGTCCCCTTTAAAAATGAGAGATCCCTGGCGGTCCAGTGGTTGAGACTTCACCTTCCACAGCAGGATCAGGGAACTAAGATCCCATATGCCTCCCAGCCAAAAAACCAAAATACAAAATGGAAGCAATACTGTAACAAATTCAATAAAGACTTTTTAAAAATGAGAGGATATTGAACCCCTGAGAGATTTTACCATTAGATTCAGTCCGCCTGCAGCTAGACCTCAGAGTCTATGTACAGTGTCCATGGCCTCTCAGAAAGAAGAGGACAAATTCAAGGATCAGAAGCAGTGGAACCAATGGATCCTGGTGGGAGACCAGATATGGGAGGTGAAGGAAAGGAAGCCTCAAAGAGAGTCTAGGGGTTTTGAGGAAACATGGGGCGGGGGGGAGTTTAGGGCGGAGGATTCTAAGTTTGGATTTTGACGTATCTAGTTCCGTGTGTCACTGGTACCCTAAAAGGAAGATAGCCCACAGGAATTCAGGGGCCAAGTCAAGGCCCTGGAAGTGGGTTGGGGAATCAAGAGCCTTCTGAAGATAAGATCAGAAAGGGGAAGGGTGTTCAGCTAGAAGAGAAGAGGAAGAAGGACAAAGGCTTAGGGAGTGCCTCCTTGTCCAGTTTATGATACACATGACCTTCTGTGATTAAGTTCCCAGAGTTTTCAGAATGTTTAAATGTGTACTATACAGCGTCCGTGGATATACAATGAACTAATAGACTCCACAAAGCAGATATATTTACTAATCTTATATTTGCTTAAGAAGTTTGTGAGCTGCGGGTCTGAGAAACTGGAGGTTCTCTGTCAATAAGCCAAAGCTAGAGCACGCGTGACGGCATGGAGACTGGCAGACATAACTCTAGGAACACTGCTGAGCCACTTGTGTGTTCTCAAGCATCCCCCAGAGTGAATACATCATCTCAGATGAATGCCCAGGTTTGGGAGACCTGATTTCTTTTTGGTGGATTTTACTTTGGTCAACCTTTTCTTTAAGAAAATGACTACATGTCACCAAAAGCAACGGCAACAAAAGCAAAAATAAGCAAGTGGGACTCCATGAATCTAAACAGCTTCTGAACAGCAAAGGAAACCACCAACAAATTAAAAGACAACCTGGGGAATGGCAGAAACTTTACAAATCACATATCCCATAAGGAGTTAATATCCAAAACACACAAGAATCTCATGCAACTCAGTAGCAAAAGTAAATAAATAGTGTAAAAGTAGAAGAGCCTGAACATTCTTCCAAAGAAGACATACCAGAGGCTGACAGGTACTTGAGAAGGTGTTCAATATCACTAATCATCAGGGAAATGCAAACCAAAACCACAATGAGATAACACCTCACAGCTCTTAGGATGACTATCATCAAAAAGAAGGATGTGGAGAAGAGAGAACCTTTGTGGACTGCAGCTGGGAATGTAAACTGGTACAGCTACTATGGACAACAGTATGGAGATACCTGAAGAAATTAAACACGGACCTACCATATGATCCAACAATCCCACTTCTGGGTATACAAAGCAAAAAAGTCACTATCTCAAAAAGATCCGTACTACCATACTCATTGGATCCTTAATTCACAATAGTGAAGGTAAGGAAACAATCTAAGTGCCCACTGACAAATGAATAGATAAAGATAATATGACACATACACCCCCACACAGGAATATTATTGTCTTAAAAGATGGAAATCCAGACATTTGAGACAACAAGGATAAATCTGGAGGGCCTCGTGCTAAATGAAATAAGCCAGCCAGAGGAAGATAAGTGCTGTATGGCATATTGTTCTGTCAACATCCCAGTTGAAAGTTCTTTCTTCTCGGCTCTTACAGTACACTGGCCTCCATGTCTCCATTCACAACCTTCTCCTTGCCAATGGAATTTTAGGTATAAATCTGATTCTTTTACTTACTTCCTTGCTAAAATGCTTTCACGCTTTCTTACGCATTTCATATTTAAATGCTTTTTCTACCCATAGCATCACCAACTCAATGGACATGAGTTTGAGCAAACTCTGGGAGATAGTGAAGGACAGGGAAGCCTGGTGTGCTGCAGTCCACGGGGTCACAAAGAGTCAGACACCACTTAGCAAATGAACAACCCATTGTCTAAACAGTAAAGCTCAAATGATTTTGTGCAGCTTTTTCCCTTCTGTTTCCCAAAATTCCTTCTTCCCCAAACATAGAAGTTTACTAATTGACCTTTTCTTAGCTATTGGTCTTACACTGGGCACCTGAATCTAGCCAAGTCATCCTAGACATTTTGCCTTGGGACTGACAGTCAGTTTCTCTTTGGATTTCTGCAGCATGCAAAAGCTCAGAGGCGGTCAGTGGCCATGTTTTCTGCCAAGTGAACCAGAAAAGTGGAGAAACCCAGTAATAAAGGAGAGACAGAATGAAGGTGTGGAGAGAGAGAATGAAGGTATGCAGCGAGTTGAACCCATAGGTGGGAAACTGCTCCATCCCAGCTCTTCTTTAGACTCTAGGACAAGGATAAAGCTGGACCCAAAGTCAGACAAGTCAGACTCTGGCAATAAACGCCCCCTTGTAGGCTGATGTGAACTGAGCTTCTGATACCTGCACGCAAGTCAGTCTGAATTCCACTACACATGGCAACTTGGAGGTTCAACCACACCCTGCCTTGCCGGTTTCATTTCCCAGTGTTCTGACTACCCCTTCATTTCACCACACACTCACTCCTCTGCATCAGAGCCACGAGGTCATGCCATTTCTGTGCTCACTGTCCTTTGTATCTACCACATGACATTGTAGAATTCCTACTGGTTTATGTATTATTTTCTAAGTTCTTCAAGGACAATCTTGTTCATCTATGCAGCTCACCGCCTAACACAACTGGAAAGTGCATAGCAGGTACTTGACAAATGTTTGATAAGTCAGGTTATTTCAGCAAACAAAGTGAGTCAGCGTTTGCCATGCAGGCTTCCCAGGTGGCACAGTGGTAAAGAATCCACTTGGAAATGCAGGAGAGGCAGGAGACTCACATTTGATCCCTGGGTCAGGAAGACTGATCCCCTGTTAGAGGAAATGGCAACCCTCTCCAGTATTCTTGCCTGGAAAATCCCATGGACAGAGGTGCCTGGCAGGCTACATTCCAGGGGGTCGCAAAGAGTATGGCACGACTGAGTGACTGAACATGCACATACACAGGCTCTAGTAAGTTTGCCCCCAAAAGACCAACCTATTGTCTTATTATTCAATTAAAAAAGCAGTCTTTCATGAATAATGTAATTTTGTGTTTGAACAGAAGAGGAACATAAACGAGATAAACTGACCAGGGAAAGCAGTATGAACTTCAGAGGCCCCAAGCCCCGGTCCACAATCTCCTAAATCAGTTATCTGAATATAGAGACTAATTTCACACTTGCCACATCTTCCTTCTCACACATTTTATACTTATTCATTCTTCTAAATCCTTTGACCTCTAAATCTAGAAATGTCAATCACTCTTGTGGTATCTGCCAATTGCACTGAAGTGTTTGTTCTTAAACAAGGTGGACTACTTAGCCTCACAAAAAAAATCTACCCTATCAGCTCATTTTAAAACTTAGGGTTTTTGCCTGAAAACTTGTTTAACCTCGAATGTATTCCCAAATAAATTTCCAAGTGAGTGTTTTTGTTTGTTTAATATATTACACATTACCTAGAAGCCAAGGGGAAAAAAGACTTTTTTTTTTTTTGGCTTTATTTTCTACTCAACCAAAGAAAGAAAATAAGCTACAATTTCCTTATGTCAAAGCTGGTTTATTGAACTTCATGAGGGCAAAATTACAGTGACACTACTCCACAACAAAATTATTTAACTCTCGTTTAGATTTCAAGAAGAAATGTATTAGCAACATACTGTCATTATGAACTAACTTTATTATAGCCTGGATTAGCTTCCTTTGGTGTTCTCCCAAACTATGACTTTTCCAAAACATATCTAAAGTTTTCAACTAAAGGACACCATTAAAACAAACTCACACAGGAGTTATAAAACTTGTGACTTGTGCATTAAAAATTAATAATAGCCACCATTTTGGAAGTGATTTGTCAATAGTTGGTGTTTTATAAATATTTTGGAAAATATCTAAAAGTTTCATCCCCATTCAACTGATAAGTATGTTCCTTTTAAAAATGAAAACAAATCACCACGAATGGGATACAAATATTTTTAAATTAATAAATATTAAAGTGGAAAAAATAAGTCCTTTCAGAGAACTTTAAAGGATACTTACTACTCACTCCTTACAAAAAGAAATAAAGTTAAATTACTTAAAAAAAAATATTAATAACAGCATTGAAAAAACATAAATGTGCTTGGAAAGTCTGTAAACTTTCTTCCCCCACTTTAGAAAATGTTTTGATAAGCAATAAACAGATTCCCTTCTTTAAAAAACTGTTAACACCCACAACAATGATAACAGCTGTCATTGTTTTGCTATAAAAATAGTTACAAATTAATATCAATTTAGATATAGTCAAACCACTTTTAATTCTAGCATGATAAGAAAAATGGATTCATCTCATTAAAAACAAATACAATTTCTTTTTCCTTAAGGTCTAGTGTTTAAAATAGAATAATTATTTCCCTTAATTATTATTTTCAGTTAGTTTATTTAATAGAATTATCTTGTTTTTATAACTAAATTACTCAACCAGGACCACCATGATTAAGTAAAAAATTCTAAACTAGATTAGATCACATATTTCATTGGTTTCCCACATTCTGAAAATATTTTATGTATAATCACCTTTCGGCTTAATGTCCTCTAGAATGGTAAATTCAGCAATCTTTCAGAATTAGTGAATGTGCACACTTCAGTTAGAGTTCATGGCTTACATTCCATTCATGTAATATCGTCATATGCAAGCTTATTATTTCCTATGTGCAAACTCTTACATTCAAAACAAAAGTATTTAGGGTAAAATACTTTCTGAAATATTCTTTCCATCACTGAGGAATTGACTAGATATTCTGTAATACCTAATTTATTTTTCATACTGAGGAGGAGTAGTTTGTTGTGACCATAAGATTTAAAGATCTAAACAGCAGCATACTATGACACAATTCTATTACAGAAATAAATGCAGACTCACAGCAATTATAGGTGTGCCCTCAGAGTTACAATTCAAATGGAAGAGAGATGATGAATGCGTTTAGGCATTAAGTTGATTGGGGATGGGGGGAGCATGAGATCCTATATCAGAACACAGTCTGAAACGACTAAAAGCCCAGAGCTGGAAGGTCTCTTGTGGCAGTCAGGAACCATGTTTATTTATTTCCCGTAAACTATAACTTCTCAAATCTTTCAATTAGTTTTTTACTATTTAAATATAACAAAGTAAAGTATAAAGCACCTTATTATGTCATTTCATTTGCATTAAAATCTGATTTACTTCTGCATATTTTATAGAATTACTCTTTTTAAAAATGACAATGATATTTTTACAGACCTGATTGACACTGTTTACAAAGATCAAACATCTAGAACCTTGGGAAAGTCATTCTTTCTGGGCTGAGAACCAGAAAACATTCTAGGTCTTCTTCTACCAGATCTGAAGTCTTAGCTCTTAAAATGTACCAATAATAATGCAATTAATATACTAACAATACAAAGAAAGAACTCTAGGGAGAGGCAAATACCAGTTTTATCCTACTGAGAATACTTCCTATTCAAAGGACATACCAGTAAGTGCCCTAAACCCTTAATATATTTTTTCAATTCCAGGAACACAGGATTAAACAATCACTGACTCTTAAAATCCCATTATGCTCTCATATGAAGCCTCCTCCTTGCGCTCTCAATGCAAAGATGTTCTGATTCATCCTAATATTGCTTCATTTCAACCTCACCTGAAAACTTTTTCCTTGTGGTGTCACAGTGACAAACTTGATTAAGTAGACACAAAATACAAAAATAAGCATGACAATGATAAACAGTAACGTGTCAGGATGATCCATTGTATGTGAGATTAAATTCTATGACTTATCACTGTCATACTTCAGAAGTATTTCTTTAGTCAATATTAGATACTGTAATAAAGACCGTGATTTAGCACCAGCATGTCATTGCAGGCTTTGGTTCAGGCTTCAGGGTAATTCCGTTATCAGGGGGTTGACTAAGCATTAGCGGTTTGTGGCTCTTAAGCTTATGAGCCAAGGTCATAAATATAGCTTCCACATGGTCATTATCATTGGGGTTTTTAGCAGAGGTTTCAAACAAAGGCATACTGTGTGTGTCAGCAAATTTTTGTGCCAAGTCTGTGGGTACCTGAATGGCACTTCTCAAGTCACATTTATTTCCAACAAGAATCCGTGGTATATCGGTAGCTAGCAAATGCTGTTTGCATTCTTCTATCCAAGACGGCAGGCTGTGAAAACTCGCCATGTTGGTCATATCATACACGAAGACAACAGCATGCACGTTTCTATAGTAGTGCTGGACCATGCTTTTTCTGAATCGTTCTTGCCCCGCTGTGTCCCATAACTGGATCTGAAAGTGGAAAAAAGGAGAGAAAAACTGAAAATTCCATCCAGTCATACACATAAAAAACTTTCACTACCTTTGCACGGTCCTCTGTACTTCACTTATACTTCTTTGCTCCCTTCTAAAGTGCCTTTTTGGTGTTACTGATGTGATTTAAATGTCATGATGCTAGTCCAGTTACTTCATGATTAACACAAGTGTCAGAACAAGTACTTCAATTTAGCACTTTAATTCAGTAAGTCAAGTTTGTTTGGAAAAAATTATACCTCAAAAATTGATTTTAAAATGCTAAAAGAAACAGATATCAGATTTTTAAAACATGTTAAGTGTCTAATTTCTGCAAATCTGGTTACAATACGCCCTTCCCTGCCTTTCACTCATGTAATTTAAAATAGTAGAATTAGGATAGATGTGAAAAGTCATGGGGTCTAGCCTCTACATCAACATATATATACATCTGACAAAATCCAGGCCCCTTTAAAAAATTTAAATGACTAGGAAATCACTTACCTATCCTAAACATCTCTGCCAATAAAAATATTCCAATACCTCCCAATGGAAATACGGGGTGGCGGGGAATGATATCTAAAGCTAAATACAAGTCATATGATTCTCTTAAAACACGGAATTTATTGTGCCTCTGCCTAGTTCCTAAAAAAAAGTAAATGATGAGTGTAGTAATCACAATGGAAAAGACTAGGGACAGAGATGCTCAGACAGCTTTTTTTTTTAATTTTTGACCGTGCTGGGTTATCATCACACACGGGCTTTCTCTAGTTTCAGCAAGTGGGGGCTTCTTGTTGCAGAGCATCGGCTCTAGGTAAGCAGGCTTCAGTAATTGTGGCACACGGGCTGAGCTGCTCTACCCCATCTAGATGTTCCAAGACCAGGGATTGAACCTGTGTCTCCAGCACTGGCTGGAGGATTCTTATGCACTGTGCCACCAGAAAAGTCCCTTAGATAATTTTTAACTGAAAGACTTGTATTATTTATAGATACTCAGAGTATGGAAGCCTAAACAGATGACTTCTCTGCTGCTGCTACTGCTGCTAAGTCACTTCAGTCGTGTCTGACTCTGTGCGACCCCATAGATAGCAGCCCGCCAGGCTCCCATCCCCGGGATTCTCCAGGCAAGAACACTGGAGTGGGTTGCCATTGCCTTCTCAGAGATGACTTCTCTAGAGAATATCAATAACTTCAGACATGCAGATGACACCACCCTTGGGGCAGAAAGCAAAGAGGAACTAAAGAGCCTCTTGATGAAAGTGAAAGAGGAGAGTGAAAAAGCTGGCTTAAAACTCAACATTCAAAAAACTAAGATCATGGCATCTGGTCCCATCACTTCATGGCAAATAGATGGGAAAACAATGGAAACACGGGCAGACTTTATTTTCTTGGGCTCCAAAATCACTGCAGATAGGGACTGCAGTCATGAAATTAAAAGACGCTTGCCCCTTAGAAGAAAAGGTATGATCAACCTAGACAGCATATTAAAAAGCAGAGATATTACTTTGCCAACAAAGCTCCATCTAGTCAAGCTATGGTGTTTCCAGTAGTCATGTATGGATGTGAGAGTTGGACTATAAAGAAAACTGAGCATCAAAGAATTGATGCTTTTGAACTGTGGTGTTGGAGAAGATTCTTGCGAGTCCCTCGGACTGCAAGGAGATCACACCAGTCAATCCTAGAAGAAATCAGTCCTGAATATTCATTGGAAGGACTGATGATGAAGCTGAAACTCCAATACTTTGGCTACCTGATGCGAAGAACTGACTCATTAGGAAAGACCCTGATGCTGGGAAAGACTGAAGGCAGGAAGAGAAGGGGACGACAGAGGATGAGATGGTTGGATGGGATCACCGACTCAATGGACATGAGTTTGAGAAAGCTCCAGGAGTTGGTGATGGATAGGGAAGCCCAGAATTCTGCAGCCCATGGAATGGCAGAGTCGGACATGACTGAGTGATTGAACTGAAAGCAATACCAAAGGAGAGAAAAACTGAGGGTATACTGTAGACGGCCCCCAAAGTAAGTCATATATAAAAGACGAAGTGCTGAAACATGGCAGTAAGTGCTCAATTAAGACATAATGAATTAATGAATACACTTTAAAAATATGGTTAGAGATGGAAATATTGATCACCACTCTCAGGCTATCTTAATTTTTCAGTTCTGATTTTTTTCATCTATTTTTTTTTTTAATGGTAGCTCTTCTTAGTTCAAGTGTATCCATTTTTGAAATAGTCTCCCTTTCTTCCTAAGTCTAACTTTGTTCAAGGTAGAAATATAATATAAGGCATATCCTGGAGATACTGCGGATTCAGTTCCAGACCACTGCAATAAAGCAAATATCACAATAAAGCAAGTCACATGAATTTTCTGGTTTCCTACTGCATGTAAAAGTTACATTTACACTATATTGGTAAAGAATCCGCCTGCAATGCAGGAGACCCTGGCTCAATCCCTGGGTTGGAAAGATCCCCTGGAGAAGGGAGTGGCAACCCGCTCCAGTATTCTTGCCTGGAGAATTCCATGGACAGAAAAGCCTGGCGGGTTACAGTCCATGGGGTTGCTAAGAGTCAGACACAACTGAGCACTAACATGTTGAACTTTCAAAAAGTGGAAACAATCCAAATACCCACCAACTTAAGAATGGGTAAATAAAATATATATCCATATAATGGAACATTATTCAGCCATAAAAAGGAATGAAATGTTGACACATGATACAACATGGATGAACATTATGCTTAGTAAAAGAAGCCAGACACAAAAGACCACGCATCATAAGATTCCATGTATATGAAATTTCCACTATAAGGCAAGTCTCCAGAGATAGTAAATAGATTCGTGGTTGCCAGGATCTGAAGGAACGGGAAGAATGAGGAGTGACTGATAATGGGTAAGCGGTTTCTTTCTGGACTGGTGAGATGTTCTGGAATTCGTAAGTGATGACATAACACAGGCTGTGAACACACTAAAAACCACTAAATTGTCTATTTTCAAAGCATAAATCTTAAATATATGTTTTTTTTAGAATGAAAAAAAATCCCACTTCAAACTGTATCTTTAACATTCAGAAAGATATTTTGGGAATGACTTGGATGATCTATATAAAAGCCGTCCAAAGAACTGGAACTCACTTCCTCTTTTAATAACATTTTCCCAGCTCAGATATCCATAATTCATTTCATTGATGAAGAATGATTTATAATGCAGAGTACATATTTAAGTTAAAACAATAAAAAGTACACAAGAAGGTAACAGACCAAAACATGAACAGTGGCTGTCTTTCGTAGAGAACGGACTCATGGACACAGAAAGGGAAGGACGGGGTGGGACAAATTGAGAGAGCAGGACTGAAATACACTGGAATACATACATTACCGTGTGTGGAACAGACAGCTAGTGGGAATCTGCTGGATAGCGCAGGGAGCTGAGCCTAGCACACTGTGACAGCCTAGAGGGCGGGAGGTGGGAGGGAGGTGGGAGGGAGGGGACGTGTATATATTACCTACGGCTGACTCTTACCGACCTAAGGCAGAAAACAACACAAGAGTGGAAAACAACTATCCTCCAATTAAAAGTAATTTTTAAAATGGTTGCATTTAAGCCAAATTCCCCCCTTTATTTCTACTTTTCTGTTTTCCGTAAAAAATTACATTTGTTTTAACAAACTGAAGTTTAAAAAAAATCATGCAGAATTTAGACCTGTCTCACAGAACTGTGAAAGTCCTCAATAAATGCAAGTGGTGATGATGAGGACATTCATCCTTAAGAATACTTGTTTAAGCTGGGATTGATGCAACAATAAGCCTCCTCCCATCAATCTTACTCAAAACACTCTGATCATATCAAGACTTCCAGGAAAGAAGAAGTACGGGATAACTCCTCACACTTGACCAGAGAGCCTTAAAGTATATAGTATGTTAGTGAGTCACTTACAAAGAAATACTGCTGTCTCATAGTATCCATGGGGGACTGGTTCCAGGAACCCCCACCAAAATCTAACACCAAAATCCACGGATGCTGAAGTCCTTTATATAAAATGGCATAATATTTGCATTTAACTTACATCTGTACACTTTAAGTCATCTCTAAATTACTTATAATACCTAATGCAATGTAAATGCTATGTAAACAGTTGCCAGCAGTGGGCAAATTCAAGTTCTGCTTTGGGGAATTTTTTTTCCCCCAAATATTCTCCCTTAGATACAGAGGGTCAACTGAATTTAAAAGGAAGCTTCAAAATTTCACTCACTGAATTACTAGAACAAGTGAAGGCCTAGGACACATTGTTATGCCGCCTGCTGCCTTTCAGGTCTGCACTGAGGTGAGGGCAGAGAGGACAGGCCAGCTGCTAAAAACTGTCAGCCACGAAGGCTTGAGAGAACCATGACTGAGAGAGACAGATATAGCTCCCCAGTGGGGAACAAGCCTTATGATAACCTAGAAAAGTCTTTAGGTTTAGCTCTGAGTGCAGTGGTTCACAATGCTTAGAAAAGAAGAGAAAATGACACTTTGGAAACTACAGAAGGGACACTCTTTTGTCTGGCAGATGTTAAGTTAGGAAGTGTTTTCAGAGCAATTTTTCCCAATTTGATACTTAATATCTTAGGAAAGAGAATGGCTCACAGGTGCTTTTCCAGGGTATTCTCCCATTTGAGACATTAAAAAGACAACATAAAATATACTTTTAAAACATTTCATGAATCCTGACTTTAAGTCCAAGTATCAAGTACCAATACAAATGGCAACCTGTTTGCTAAATCCTGAGAAGTTTCTTACTATTCGTGAAAGCTCCTTTTGGTAGTTTTATTACCAAAATGAGAAATGATCTGGCAAATTGATTTAATACTTTTTTGCTTGACTAAAGAAGATAAAGTATTAGCCCAAATGATCTTTCTTTCTTTGATCAGCTACCAAATTTCCTCTTCCCCTGTTCTTTCAAAGACTACATTTTTATTGTAGCTCATCTGGTAACAGCTCAGTTGGTAAAGAATCCG